CGATCCTTGACATGGATATGAGCGGGATTACACCAACGATCATTCACAAATAGTACAATCCCTCCTCCCTTCTTCTTACCACTGTCAATCACGTTCCTGTCCGCCCGCACTGTCACAAAACCAGGAACCGAAATGTTATCCTCTGGAATATCCGAATGCAGCCATGTCTCCTTAAAACTCAATAAGCTACACTTGCGAAACACCCTCTGAGTCTTGACCAGCACGGCTAACTCATCCATCTTATTAGCCAGAGATCGAACATTCCCCATTATAATCCCAGGAACAGCGGGCTTGTGTCTCCTTCTCTTAGTCTTCACTTTAACTCCAGCTCTGCATCCCCGACGTCTTCTCAACAACTCCTTCGGAATTACGTACCCATCTCCCGGCGGCAGTACAAGCCTACTCAGCGCCAATAACTGATCATGCGAGTAAGCAAGAGGCCTGCCTCGACGACCGTCGCCCTCCATTGCAGAGGAGGAAAAGAAAAGAAGAAGCAAAGAAAACGAATAAACAAAAAACAAAAAAAAGAAATAGGCGAGACCGAGGTCATAACTTACCAAGAATCATGCTTGCAAAATGCATTACTAAAAAAAAAGAAACGCCAAAAAAACAACACACAAACACCGAAAACAACAAACACACGGGAGCTACTGAAACAGGCGTCCTCACAACGGTGCCATCAGACACAGACTTGAGTCAAGTCAAGACTTGATCAGAGTCTGGATAAAATCTTGACCTGTGAAAGGTAAACTCTATGAGGTGGTGAGTAATGACTACTCTGAGGAAGCAAGAATTGTGTGTTTTCCAGCTCTGTTTGGCTCTTCTCACGGTTTCTGGTATCGCAAAGCTGGCTCACGTTTATCCAGATAGATTCGCTCAGGGTTCTGTCATTCCTGAACAACTTCACCTCTTTTACATGAACACACTGGCAGCTAGAGAGGGAATCCCAATGTTCACAGAGCCAGCTGTCTGAGACACAGGTTACCCAGTGTGCTGATGTTGGGCTCAGTGAAGTCAGAAAACCCCACATGAGCCAGACTAAACAACCTGCTTCATCACACAGGCCCAAGAGTGTGTGACACTGCCTGTTGATGTGTGTTCTGTTTCAGAGTGGAGGCGGCGACCGGAGGGAAAAACGAGACCCTGACATGTGACGTCCTGCTGGTCTGTATTGGCAGACGACCTTTCACCACAAACCTGGGTCTGGATTCTGCGGGCATTGAGCTGGACAACAGGGGGCGCATCCCCATCAACAACCGCTTCCAGACTAAAGTGCCCAGGTACCACCAAGCGCAGGCTGACAAATGTAAACCGACAGTCTGACGTGGGAGATGGCGTGGCCTGGTAGTAAAACCCTGATACAGCTCAGTGCTCATTTAAAGTGGTGCTTCCTGCTCCCTTTAGACTGCTTTCACACAGAGGGAGGAGCTCCTGACTACAGCCCCAGCGCTTGATAGATTAAATAATATATTGGCTTTTTTTTTTTGTTGTTGTTGGTAAAGATCCTTTAAATGTGATTCTAAAAGAGCTGTTTAAAATATGTGCAGCTGAAAAGTAGAGTAAATGTCACATTAATGCTTCTGATAACTGGTAGGATGAAGAGTTGCATCATCAGTTATTAATGATCATTAATGTGTCTCCTTTGGTTCAGTTTCTCTCAAAACTTTTCTGGAACTGAACTGAAAAAAGGAGAAGAGTTGATAGAGAAAGGAGTCGAAGCTGAATTAATGGATAACGTAAGGAAACAGAGACTGTTTGGATGCCGCTCACATTGACATCTTCTGGATAAATAGATACGAATGATGAAATCAGGTAGAAAAAGAAAACTCACTTTCTAATGGACAGACCAACTAACAGGCCATCAAATGAAGCGAATGTCTGATAACCACCGATCAAGAAGGCGCTCTTGTTTTTGGTTTGGCCTTTCAAAGACAACTGTGGGTCAGCTGTCCTTGTGTAGTTATGGAAAGTTCTGATATTTTAGATCAAGCAGGTTTGAAACACTAAACAGTTTATAATGACGTCGATCACATACTTGGATTAAAAATCAGTTCTTCCACCACTGATGTAAAATTAGGATTTGTTTTTAAAATATAAAACTTAATTTCTCACTTCTTAATTAATAGCTTAAATAAAGAATTTGCTGCTGAAG